GTAGATGTTGAGCTTCCAGCTTGTAGGTGTTGAGCTTCCAGCTTGTAGATGTTGAGCTTCCAGCTTGTAGATGTTGAGCTTCCAGCTTGTAGATGTTGAGCTTCCAGCTTGTAGACATAGAGCTTCCAGCTTGTAGACGTTGAGCTTCCAGCTTGTAGATGTTGAGCTTCCAGCTTGTAGATGTTGAGCTTCCAGCTTGTAGGTGTTGAGCTTCCAGCTGGTAGATGTTGAGCTTCCAGCTTGTAGATGTTGAGCTTCCAGCTTGTAGGTGTTGAGCTTCCCGCTTGGAGACGTGGAGCTTCCAGCTTGTAGACGTTGAGCTTCCAGCTTGTAGACGTTGAGCTTCCAGCTTGTAGACGTTGAGCTTCCAGCTTGTAGACGTTGAGCTTCCAGCTTGTAGACGTTGAGCTTCCAGCTTGTAGATATTGAGCTTCCAGCTTGTAGACGTTGAGCTTCCAGCTTGTAGATGTTGAGCTTCCAGCTTGTAGGTGTTGAGCTTCCCGCTTGGAGACGTGGAGCTTCCAGCTTGTAGACGTTGAGCTTCCAGCTTGTAGACGTTGAGCTTCCAGCTTGTAGACGTTGAGCTTCCAGCTTGTAGACGTTGAGCTTCCAGCTTGTAGATATTGAGCTTCCAGCTTGTAGACGTTGAGCTTCCAGCTTGTAGATGTTGAGCTTCCAGCTTGTAGATGTTGAGCTTCCAGCTTGTAGACGTTGAGCTTCCAGCTTGTAGATATTGAGCTTCCAGCTTGTAGATGTTGAGCTTCCAGCTTGTAGATGTAGAGCTTCCAGCTTGTAGCTGTAGAGCTTCCAGCCTGTAGACATTGAGCTTCCAGCTTGTAGCTGTAGAGCTTCCGGCTTGTAGGTGTAGAGCTTCCAGCTTGTAGCTGTAGAGGTTCCAGCTTGTAGCTGTAGAGGTTCCAGCTTGTAGATGTTGAGCTTCCAGCTTGTAGATGTTGAGCTTCCAGCTTGTAGGTGTTGAGCTTCCAGCTTGTAGGTGTTGAGCTTCCAGCTTGTAGATGTAGAGGTTCCAGCTTGTAGATGTTGAGCTTCCAGCTTGTAGACGTTGAGCTTCCAGCTTGTAGGTGTTGAGCTACCCGCTTGTAGATGTTGAGCTTCCAGCTTGTAGCTGTCGAGCTTCCAGCTTGTAGAAGTTGAGCTTCCAGCTTGTAGGTGTTGAGCTTCCAGCTTGTAGGTGTTGAGCTTCCAGCTTGTAGATGTAGAGCTTCCAGCTTGTAGATGTTGAGCTTCCAGCTTGTAGATGTAGAGCTTCCAGCTTGTAGATGTAGAGCTTCCAGCTTGTATATGTAGAGCTTCCAGCTTGTAGATGTAGAGCTTCCAGCTTGTAGCTGTAGAGCTTCCAGCCTGTAGCTGTAGAGCTTCCAGCCTGTAGACATTGAGCTTCCAGCTTGTAGCTGTAGAGCTTCCGGCTTGTAGGTGTAGAGCTTCCAGCTTGTAGCTGTAGAGGTTCCAGCTTGTAGATGTAGAGGTTCCAGCTTGTAGATGTTGAGCTTCCAGCTTGTAGGTGTTGAGCTTCCAGCTTGTAGGTGTTGAGCTTCCAGCTTGTAGGTGTTGAGCTTCCAGCTTGTAGATCTAGAGCTTCCAGCTTGTAGATGTTGAGCTTCCCACTTGTAGAACGCAGCGACCCCAGTCCCTCTCAGGGACCCACCTTATATCCCTCTCTGGTCGGGGCCGCTCCGCCCTCGGCCCCGCCTGCCTTCACGAGCATTCTCGTTCCCTCTCCATCCTTCTCAAGAGCTTTCCCCGGACACGTGATCACCCACTAGCCCCCCCCCTCCCCCCCAATCTGGGGCCTCCTGTGTGGAAACTCCGGATCATGTGTCTACGGGGTCAACCAGAGTGCCATGGCCTGGGGCAACCCTACCACCCCTGGGCTGACACTCACCCACTCCCCCTCGGGGGAGCCCCCACCACACGCTGTGCGTGGTGCCCGCACTTTCCCAGTGCTCGCCGAGCCCCGCGAGGGCTGGCATTACACACAGCCACCCACACGGTGCTGTCCACGCTAGGGCTGGTGTCACACACAGCCACCCACACGGTGCTGTCCACGCTAGGGCTGTGTCACACACAGCCACCCACACGGTGCTGTCCACGATGTAGGAACATCGAACGACATGGCCCTTCTGGGCCGGCACCATACAGTGACATCCCCGATGTCACTACACATGCACAAAAGTGCAAAAGTATAAAAAAAAAACATAGGGGAAAATATATGTGCATATCCACGAAGAAAAAGATCCCCCGTATGAGGAATTGCTGCAAGCGAGCACGTACGAAGGCCGCCGTGGCACATGGGGGGTAAGGTAGCCATCCCCACACCCGGCCGCCTTTGTACCCGAGTGGCGATGTTTACACATTGAACTCGGTACTCATTTGACGCCGAGTTGACCGAGGAGGAAGCCCAGGACTGGTTCAGATATTCGTCACCAATGTTAGCCGTGAGCGGGAATCGAACTCTGGTTGCCGGGTTCGTAGTGCATCGCGCTCACCACCGTGCCACCGCTCTCCACACGCACACACACGCGTGCACCTTCACGCTTGCCCACCCAGACAACTCCAGCCACGGGCACTGCACAAAGACCCACTCTTTCCCACTCGTTGCACCATTACAGCTGGCCGGCTCGGCCGTGCTGTGACACGCACGCGCGTGTACCGAGGAGGAGGCTTAAATAAAAATATAATAAGTGCTTCGGCGGCGCTCCAGCTGTGATGCGGTCGCAGCTCAGGGGCATCATCACACTCGAGCGTGACAGCCGCTCGCTCGCGCGGCGCATCCCGCGTCCTCCCGCGTGCGCCCTAAGTGCAGCACCGAGTGAGCTCTTAAGTGACTGCCGGAGAGACGTTACAGTGCCTTACTCACGCAAGGGGGGCTCGCGGGGTGTGGGGGTCTCGAGGGGTCTGGGGGGTCTCGAGGGGTCTGGGGGTTCTGGGGGTCTCGAGGGGTCTGGGTAGGACTGATGGGTAACTGTGCCACGAGTCGTAGGACACGTTGTTGGGAGTGTGCTGCCTTGAGAATGTGCTTTCGTATCAGAGGAAAATAGTGATACCCGGAGAAAACCCAAGGTGCGTGCGAGAGGATACCACTCAAATGCCCACAAGGACGGGTTCATCAACCGACTTGCTGTACTGCCAACCTGGACATGATCCACCAAACCTCGTTTCCAAAGCGGCGGATCGCAGGCGAGCGCGCCACCTCGCCATGCTGACACACACCGGGCCACCGCGGCGCTCGCAATACGGTCACTACCACCGCTTCCCTTCCCACCGTGGGGAGAGAGCGAGTGAGCAAGAGAGAGGGGAGTGTGTGAAAGAGAGTGAGAGAGCGAGAGAGGGTGAGTGAGCGAGTGAGCAAGCGAGGGCAAGAGAGTGAGCGAGCGACAGTGACCGAGAGAGAGAGCGCCAGTAAGAGAGCGCCAGATTGAGACAGCGATAGCAAGAGATTGAGAGCGATAGAGAATGAGAGAAAGAGATTAAGAGAAAGTGAGAGATTGAAAGAGTGAGAGGGGAGAGCGAGCGAGAGAGTGAGAGAGCGAGAGATTGAGGAGAACTCCGCGGCTTCAATCGCAGCGAGGTTCCCCCCCTCGGGGCTTTCTGATCATTACCGTCACAAGACTCCTCCACCTGCTGTCTGGGGTGTGACATCTTACGGCTGGAAATATTAGAAAAAAAGTAATAACAAAATAAAGCGGCTAAATTTACACGCGATTCATCCTCTGCCCGTGCAGCATCACAATTTCCCGGTCGGATGACAACAATACGCGGGGTGCCGGGCCCTCCCCGGCCCGCGGTGGGGGCCCCCCCGTGGGATTTCTCACGCCGCGCCTCGCCAATCCTGACAGCGTAAGTGGCGAGCCATTATGTCGGCCCGGCGCGTTTTTTTTTTTCTTTCACGCCGCGAAGGCGATCGTGACGCGGAGACCGAGAGGGGGTGGGCCGCTTCGTCGAGATGAGTTCGCGGGGCGTAGATTCAATCGCTCGCTCGGCCGAAATTAGGGTGCGCGTGCGCGCGCCGGAAAAACTCATTACAACGCGGCGAGGCAATCCGCACATTTAACTCCCGGAACGCCTCCGGAAACCGTCCAACGCCGACGACAAATTGCATTTCAGCCGGGCCTATTACATCCGCACCGTCTGACATCACAAAGCGACCCAGCTCCACCCACCCTCTCCACAATATTCACCGTGCCCAAGTAAAAATAAACTTAACACTCTGTATATTCCGGTGAAGACTGGCCGGGATGAGCGTCGACGTCTGCATTTCCTCTCGGTGACGGCAAAGGCGAATTCCGGTGATGATTTTTAATTAAGCCGCTATTCGTGATCTGCGACGAGTGGGAGCAGCGGCAGCTTGAGCCCTGTGATTAGGGATGTTCCGGTGGCATCCGCCCACCCCTTTCCGCCACCCCCCCCCCCTCGTCAATGGCGTGCGAGGCACGAATCGCTCAGCAAGCGACAATGCCTTTGGGTTTCGTATTTTTTTATTTTCTTTCTCCCGGTGGAGTCCCGTGACAAGGCCCTCGACTATTTCTACCAAAGGAACAGCTGTTCCCACAGCTCCACAAACAAGAAAATCCCAAGTTCAATTAGAGGGATCCGTTTGGCCTCCCTCGTGAGTGCAATGATTATCCCCCCTCTATCCCCCTGATGAGAGGAAATCCTCATTGCACAAGCGTACAGTTACATAATTATAATAACGATGTGAGGTTAGGATTCCGGCAGGAGAGGTGGAATCGAGATGCATCGTGAGGTCCCCAGTTCGACTCCTGGGTAGTGGCGGAGCTGGTTCCATACGGTGGACGGCGAGTATGTCACGCGCAGCCTCCAGGCATCTCACGCTCACCACCGCACCTCCCTACAGGAGTCTCGCTCGCCAACACCGCCGTACAGGTGTCACGCTCGCCACTACTCGTGCAGGCGTCGCATCCGCCGGCAACCTACAGACATCACCACTCGCCCTCCGCTGTCACAAGCGTCGCGCTCACCGGCAACCTGCAGCCGGACGGTGGCCTCAATGTCGCCCTGCATGGAGTTGGAGGCGGTGCACGAGTAGTCGCCCTCGTGTGAGGCGTCCACCTTCCGGAAGACAAGCGTGCCGGCCTCCTGTGCCACGCCGGGGGGTAGCGGTGCGCCGTGGCCTGCTCCCCGCATACACACGAGGACACACGGGGACACGCGGTGGCACAGTGAAATGAGGACATGCTGCCCTGGGTTGACACTGCGGTCTGTATTAACCAAAAAAATACTTCGCGCCGTCTGCTTCACAAAAAGATACCCGTAACGTCACTCCAAAGTGGAGTAGGCCGTTGTGTGCCGGCAACACGATCCAAATTTAGTCATTTAAAAAATCACCCTGGTTCTGCTTCCCCACCCCTCCATGCACCTCCCCCATGCCTTCCTGCACTTCTCCATCTTCCCCACATCTCCCAGTTCCTTCCCCGTTACCTTCTCCATTCCTTCCCCACTCTAACACCGTGCCGAGTGGGCTCCGGGGAGGGTGGGGGAGTGAGGGAGGGGGTACCAACCCTGTCTGCTCCACGTGATGACGGGTGGCTCACGGCCCGTAGCCGAGCAGTGGACGCTGCTGCTCTTCCCCAGCTCCAGGCACTGGTGCAGCTGCGGCGTCGGCGTGAACTTGAGGTTCGCTGGAACAGAACGAAAACTTAATAAATGGAATCGATCGCCGCGAGCGACGACAGCGCACAAGCGACGGCGTCTGCTCCCCCGCCTCTGGTGTGATCGCGAGTCTGAGATCGTAAACTCCCCAGGAGCCTCGTGGAATCCCACGCGCACATCTTAACGAAACGCGCCGAGACCATACACAAATGAATAAATAATCCGGGACGATATCCAACGGCTTCCCATTAAAACGCACGACTGCATCTGCATCCTATTAAAACACCGAATTACAGCACAGAAAACTCACGTACGTGCACGCTTTAATTCAGCAGGGCCGTATTTTGAAATTAGTAATGGTCCTGTATTTATTTATGGGCCACGTTATGGCTACAACCGAAGGGCCCCCAGGGGCTGGAATTGAAGTGCTGATGTCATTTCAGGCAGGAATGCAAAACGTGGTTAAGCAAACGTTTAAGCGCAGTTATTTTACGCGATGCCTCACCAGACTAAACGCAGCCCACGCACGCTTACAAAGACCCCCCTATATAACCTTTAACAGACAGTTGGGGCAAGTGCTGTTAGCGAGCACCTATTAAGGCCGGCACGGCACACGAGGGGGTGGCTGGCCAGCAAAACGCCTGGCCACCTTCATCTCCCAAGTGCTGAATCGACCTATAGGAAGGCCTAGGACGGCTTCAGATATTTGCCACCGTTATTGGTCGTGAGCGGGAATCAAACTTAGGTCGCCGAGTTCATAGCGCAGTGCACTAGCCACTGCACGACCGCTCCCCACTGCGCTCACACGCAAAGACACACACACGTACTGGCTGTGTTAGTGTCCAACAATTTCTATGGCCACAAACTGAAGTTGACTGTATGGGTCAGAGAGCCGGACTTTAACAAATGATGCTGGGAATTCCACGGCGGGATAGGCTGAGCAACTTGGAGATTCAGAGTATGACACGGGAAGAACGTGGTGGAAGCACGTAATCAGCAAAGTGGAGGCTGTGCAGGGTAGAGAAGAAGGGCAATTGATCGAGACGGGCATTGCAATGATACCCAGAGGTCACCGACCAATGGGAATAGAAGACAAAGCCAGACGGTGGTGGCGGCGATGAGACTGTAAGTACGGTCCATGGAGGTCGAGCGCCAACTTTGCCACAACTCTGGGATCGGCTAGAAGGAAGCGTCGGCGAGGTGTTTGACGCGACAGGCTGACGGCGTTAGATGCGACGACCTCTTGACCTTGACAGTGTGGACACAGGGCCGTGCTCTGAGAGGGTGCACGCGTGTGTGTGCTCACCGTGGAGGCAACACTTAACGCACGGCGGCGCGTGAAGCGCTTTGTGCGAAGGCGCGAAAGATCCCGCAATCGAGCGCTCTCTGTGGTGGGGTGTCAACGCTCGACCCTCGCGTCGGGGCGCGGGGATCATTAATCAGCCATTGAAGGGTGCGTCAGACTCGTCGAGCGGCAGCCAGGAAGCTTTTAACGATCACGCCCACGACCGCAGTGTGCGCACGCCACTCTCTGTGGCCGCGCGGCACAATAGCACAACGCGCAGCGCAGGCATCTTAATAGAAACGCAAACACCCCGGTAAAGTTACAGGCACCCCCCCCCCCGCCCTGCCCAGGGAGGGCCGGTGGGCGTCTTCTACCCACGATGATTAATCTGCCCCTCTACATCCAATTAACTCTGCCTGGCCAATGACCTCGGATGAGCTGAGCACGGAGGCACGATGAGGGGACACTGAATCACCTGCGCTTCTGGTGACCTATTCAATCACAGTGTGGAAAAGGTCAAGAGGTCACCACGACCGGCGCGGGTGACGACCGCCACGTCTTGCCATCGCGCTTACTTCTGCGTGCGTGCAAATCCTATTGGGGAAATTCCGCCGGTTTTTATGCCGGGCGTAATTTAGTGACTTAGTGACGCGGTTGACGAAATGGCGATCGCTTTTTCCCAAGCCCGCATTCATCCGCACGCCCAGCCTCCCGCAAGGCCCGCTTGCTCGATACGATGCCGAGACGTCGCGAGGTTGCCGCCCCTGCTGCAGGCCGCTACGTCAGGGCCATCGGGTTTTAGGAGCCTGGATAATTAAGCCGGGCTGAGTCACACAGCGGGATAATCTTTTGCGTCGCGGCGGTTTAAATTAGCTTAGCGGCGATGCGCACGAGTGGCAGCACCTCCCGTATTTCCCTTGCAATTCGAAGGAGCCACATCCTCAATCGACCGCACACAGAAAACCAAACGGCTTCTCCCAATAAGGTGACCCCTCGGCTACTTAACGATTATAAAATAATTATCTTAAGAAACGATCGGAAGCGAACGGCAACAATAAAAGACGACGATCGTGGACGGCATGCTGGAAGGGCTACGAGGAAGAGCAGCAGCTGGATGGGGGATAGGATCTGAAGAGCAATAGCGACACCGGAGGCGGGAAAAGCAAGAGGGGGGGGGGGCGGCCGATCGAATCGGATGGAGGGGGGCCTCGTGATGGCCACAACGGGAACTATTCCGGAAAAAGACGAGATAAGACGATGACAAAGATCGATAACAAGTGACGAGTTCGGGGGAAAAAATTCCACGCAAGCGCACGGCGAGCGACCGTCGCTGCACCGCAACGTTCCGGCACTCACGGCCGACCGTGCACGAGCGCTGCGGCCCAAGGCGCAGCCCGATGGGAGATTAATTGAGACGGAACAGGTTCTGGAAATGAGGCGAGAAGACAAACGAGGGTGGGAGGGGGCGGACGGGTGGGGGGGTAGGGAGGGGACGTGCGCTGGCAGGCGAGGAGCGGAGGGAGAGAGTGGATTTGCGTGCGCGGCCCGGTAACCCAACACGCGGGTACTCGGGTGCGGGAAAACCTGTTCGTCCCACCTGCGCCGCCGCAGTGGCGGTGGCAGGCACACAATAGCCGCCGCCTTCGGCCTGCGTGCCGGACAAGCGGAGCGGGCGCCTCGCGTGGACAAAGCGGCCAGGGCGGGGAGACGTATCGCCACGTCTCATTTTGATGGAGACTCCTCGCACGTGAAAGCGCTCGCCCCGCTCGAGAGACCCCCACCCCCCAAGCCTTATTGACCATTTAACGGAGAAACAAAATGAGCCGCCCCGAGCTATTTTCACTCGTTTGTCGTCGTCTCAGCTCATTTCCGCAGCTTGACCTCTTCTTTCCCCCACTTTTCAAATTCCTTCACAAACTAAAAATAAATGCACGGTGTTTGTGTTAGGTGGGTTTAAAAGGGCTGACAGATTGCTCACGGCGGCCGGGCGGTTGGCCGGTTGGTTGCTGTGTGTGTGCTTGCCAGGTGGTTGACTGGATGCCCAATTGACAGCTTGCCGTTGCTGCTTTGAGAAGACCGGGGTCGGTGAAAGCCCAAGACCAAACCGTTTCCGATAGACCAAGTTGTATTTGGTAGACCGAGCTTTAGGCAGCCTTGTGGAATTATCCACTACCTGGTAAGCGAGAGGGTTGGCTGGTGAGGAGTGAGTGATGTGGCTGCCCTGGTAAAGGTTGAGTAACAGGGCTACTCCGGTGAGGAGTGAGTGAGCCAGCGACGTGGCTGCCGTGGTGAGATGTGAGTGCCAGGGCTGCCCCGGTGAGGAGTGAGTGAGCGAGTGAGCGAGTGAACGAACGATGTGGTTGCCGTGGTGACGAGCGGGCGAACGACGGGACTGCTGGGATGCCACGGCGGGCCTCCCCGTGCGCGGGGCCTCACCGAGCACGTGCACACGCGCCGCCCTGGTGATGGAGCCGGCGGCGGTGCTGCTGTTGCAGGTGTACACGGTGCCGTCGTACACCTCCACCGCGTTGATCCGCAGCGTGCCGTTGGGGAACACCTCGAACCGCCCGTCCTGCTGCACGGATGCACACACGGCGCAAACCGCACGCGCGCGTCACCGCCGCAAGCGGAGCAGAGAACACGCGCGGCACAAACCGCACTTGGCACAACCGCGTCGGGCCATTCGACGCCGTGGACGCTAACGGGTTTCCTTGCCCGCGAGCGCGGCGAGTGGCTGGCGCCTGTTTCACGCCGAAGACACTTTGTTTTTACCGTTTTACAAATGTTTGTGGGATGTTGACGCCATTTTAATGAATGACGAAACGACCGTTCCAATTTACACCTTTAAACAAGATCAGCCACTGTGCGGTTTATTTGGACAATGAAAGCGCCAGTATTGTGTTTGTTTTGTTATCCGACAGAGAATGTTCCCGCTTGTCCCAGCTGTCTCCAAGGAATTCTACTTGTCTGTGCGTCTGTCTACCTGCGTGTCTCAGAGTTGATTTGTCCACCTTGTTACCGACATGTCCCACAATCTGTCGATATGCCAAAATGTGTGTCCATGTGTCTGTCTGACAATATTTCGGTCAAACTTTGTCCATTCATCCGTCTCCGCCTCTAGCTCAATCTATCCGGTCTACATACTTCTCGGCGATTTCCATTCCACTGGCGGACGAAGGCCTCTCCACGTAATGCCAGTCGCGGGGAGGATTGTTAAAGTCGTACTTAATGAGCGAGTACAAATTCTACAGCGTTCTCCTCATGTGGGCCCACCCCGCATCACCCTGTGTCACAACCCCCCCACGTCACCCCACGTCGCCCCCCTGAGAGGAATGAGGAGAGTGGCGCTCGTACCACTGAGATATCGAAGTTGTTCTTGTACCAAGCGACGTGTGGGGTTGGCGTGGCGTTGGTGGAGCAGTGCAGGAACCCCGGCTGCCCCTCCTGCAGGGCGCTGTCCACCGGCGGCATCACCCACACCGGCACGGCTGCGGGGGTTGGCGGATCATGCAGAGATTGTGGTGTGCGTGTGAACTTTCCCCTCTAATCCGCATTGCTGCCCGACGATCAAGGGTCTCTAGCGTTTAGGGCTTTGACCAACGTGACCGGTTCTCGAGGGAGAATCTCTCACAGCAAAGTAGCTTTAGATTGAAGTTTCATTCGCATCATCTCATCCCACACTCCCCTTAGCAACAGAGCTCGTGCATAAACGCTCTCCGGCCCGATTTAGAAATCGCTAGACTTCGAACGTCGCTCGCTCACGCACACGCCGGCTGCGCACGTACTCGCCACGGAGATGGTGACCTCCTGCTGCCGGCGCCCGGCCTTGTTCTCGGCGACGCACTGGTACGTGCCGGAATCGCCTGCGCGCGCCGGGTCCAGCCGCAGCTCGCCGGCGTCGGTGACGTGCACGCGACCCCCGCCGTCACGGCCCGCGCCGATCCTCACGCCGTCACGCTCCCACCAAACGGCCGGCGGGGGCTGCCCCGGCACAGGGCCACACTGCACGCGCCGCGACGCGCCCTCCTGCACCGCCACCGCATCCAGCGACACCAGATCGCCGATGTCTGGCGTGGGGGCAGGTCGGCGGGGAACACCCGACGGGCAAAACCGTGAGCCTCACGGCGTCGTCGTCGTCAACAGTCGTCATTCAATCCCACTGATGGATGAAGGCCTCGCCAAGCCGTCGCCAGTTCTCACGGGTCCTGCGATGTACCAACACGCCTGGCAGCCGCACTCACACTGAACGGATTTGAATCTCATTCACAGTCACGGCGGGCATCTGTGGCCTATGATCAGGCCTTCGGAGCAGTGTAAACTGGCGCAGTCATATGAGCCCTGACATACCGAGGTCTCAATTAAAACAACATTTAAAAATTTACGGCATGAAGTACCGAAATACACATGCAGAGGGGAGTCAGATAATGTGACGCGCTTTCGCCAGATATTCACAGCCGTGCACGGGGCACACGGTGCAAGCTGTCAACACTGCCGCATGGACCGCGGCGGTGAGTGGTCAGCGTCGTGAATGCAGTAAGCGCGGCGAGCGCAGCCAATGCAGTGAGCATGGTGAGAATGGTTAGACCGTGCGTGCGTTTAATGCGGCGAGTGTAGAGATCGCAGCAAGAATGCCGAGTTTGGAGAGCGCGGTCAAAACGATGAGTCTGGCGAGCGTGGTAGGACCGGGCGAGTGCGCCGAGTGCGGTGCCGCCGACGCGGCCGTGCGAGCCTCACAGGCCAGCGCCAGCGTGGCCTCGGCGGAGGCCTCCTTCCCACGCGCCCCCCGTGCCACGCAGCGGTACGCGCCCACGTTGCGCTGCTTCACTTGCGAGATGAGCAGCGAGCCGTTGGGGAAGATCGTGGTCCTGAAGGGCGGCACGGAGATAGGACGCGGTGAGCTCGGTTACACTCGATCGATCGCGCCGCGCGTTCAACACGCACGTGGGGAGGGTGGGGGGGGTGTACATGGAGGGAGAGAAGTAATGCGAAAGATCATTTTACATAAGATACTTACAAGGTCCCTGCCACTGTTCAGACCCAAGACCTTGCTGCTCTCCTCTGCCGTCTAGAGCGTACACGTGGCTCACTGCTTCAGTGCAGCATCTGGGCGCCGCTACGTAACTCCGCGTCGTGTTGCAATGTGTATGGTTGGTGGGTCGTGCAAACTTCCTGCTCATCTGCAAGGTGGCCAGCGGGTGGCAGGAGAGCAAATGTGTTTGCAAATCCATCCGTAAAGCAGAGCTGCGACTGTTTACCGTATGGTGGTGGATTTCCTCCCACACGAAGCGAGGCACTCATTTAGAGGTGGCCAAAGTGGCTCAGCAGTCAGAGCGTTAAGCTGGCACCGTTGAGATCCTGGGTTCAAATCCAGGTTCCAGCTGCCCGTGGTTAAATCCGGGTTCTCAAGTATTGATTGGTCTCAGTTCGGTCACCCAACGACTGCACAAAACAAACCCTGATCGCATTAAATTTGGTTCTGCACTGAATGTGGCTAATTCCCAGCCGAGATTTTAAATTAACATCGAGTTGGCGGTCACACGATGAGTATTACTGTCAGTGGCAAAGCACGTGGGAATGGCCTGCCCCGTGCGGTGCAGACCAGAGGTCATGTGAAGGAATCTCAGGGGGCTCTGCGAGTTTTGCTTCCACGAGCGGTCCCTGTAACACGCCGGCTCACACGGCTCTCCTGAGTGGTCTCTGTAACACGCCGACTCACACGGCTCTCTGAGCAATCCCTGTAATACGCCGGCTCGCACGGCTCTCTGAGCAATCCCTGTAACATGCCGGCTCACACGGCTCTCTGAACGGTCCCTGTAACACGCCGGCTCACACGGCTCTCTGAGTGGTCCCTGTAACACGCCGGCTCGCACGGCTCTCTGAACGGTCCCTGTAACACGCCGGCTCGCACGGCTCTCTGAACGGTCCCTGTAACCCGCCGGCTCGCACGGCTCTCCGAACGGTCCCTGTAACACGCCGGCTCGCACGGCTCTCCGAGTGGGATCTCGCATCTCGAGACGCGACACAGACAGCACGATCGCGATCACGTTGAGGATTTTTTTTTTCCTGCGTTGAACTAGGTGCCAATTATCGTTGTTGCAGCTCACAATTCTCACAACCATTTTTAGCGATGAAAATAGGCGTAGCGTTCCCCTTCAAATTGCGTCAAACATTATCAAAACAAGATCCAGGAATTTGGAGTAAAATCCAGGAAGTCAATAATACTGCGAAACGTCCGTGAATATTAACAATTGTTATTATTACTACTACGGTAATGACTCCTGACCGAGGCAGCGCTGGGCTTCTCACCGGGGCTTGTTGGTGATGGGCTCGCCGTTGATGTACCAGGTGAGCGTGGGGGGCGGGTCGGCCGTGAACTGGCAGTGGAAGAAGGCCGCCTCGTTCCGACTCACCACCTGGTCCACCGGCTGGACAACCAAGCGAGGGACCGACACGTCTGGGTGGGGGGTGGAGAGCGGGGGAGGCACGGTCAAGAGAACGTGGCGTCGCCTGTGTCAACACGGTTGGCTACGTACAGTGGGAACGAGTTCAACATACATACATTGATACGACGTGTGATGTGCACGAGTGAGGGTGCAGTTTCGGATGTAAACACATTCAGGATTTTTTGTAGCTCTTTTTTTACGGTTTAACCGTCGTCTTCGCATTGACAAAGGTGATGCCACCCAACGCCACGTAATGCTGGAAAGGCACTGAAGTGACGCATCATGCGATGTGTCACGTGACCAATGCGATGACAGTGTAATGTGGAAAGGCCACATTACTATGGCGGGGTCCGGGACGACCACTGGTAACATGCCGGGCGGCCGACACGCCATAGTTCACGGCCAGCCGACTTGCAGCGAGTGATGGGCCCCCATCCCATCTCGTGGAATAATTATTTCTTTCAAATCAATTGAATGATGTAATGCGTCTGGAAATTGGAATTCCCATCGCAAACCCATCTGTGTCAACGTAATTGTTGAGGAATGCAAAGCGTCGGGGGCGCCGATCGATGCCAAGGTCATAATTTCTGTCAATAAAATACCTGGCACCAATTCCCCAGCCTCCAATCCCATTGCAGCCCGTGCGCTCGGAAGGATAATTAAAGCGCGGAGGCGCTGCGACTGCATATTGTAATGAGGTGCCACGCGCGAGCAGCAAAGGGCGATGAATGGGGACGGAAGCAGTCCTACGAGGGCTGCCACTCCAACGCGCCCAAGAACCTCTCATTAGCCTGTTCGTGGGCACAGCAAGCGCACGAGCCAACGGGTCTCGCACACCGGTATCCCGCCGGGTAACGGGTCGGGAATGAGGTTCATCATCGATCATTATGGGGCCTGGCCGACGTGGCCCAGCGGCAGCGCGTCCGCTCACTTGTTGCAGAGGTTTGCGGTTCGAACCTAGTGGCAGGCCGCGATGCGCGAGGCTACGGCGTGCATTTTAACCGTACACTACTACCGTCTTCTTCACGGTGGACATTGGAAGTTCCCGTGACGCCATTCCAGGAAACAGCTCGGACATTGCGTGCCAGCTTCATCTTACAAATTTTCACAATTTGAAAAATGAAACCGCAAATCAATTAATTAGGAAACTGCTGGATGAAGGCCCCTATGCTGTCGCCATCTCTTTCTCTCAGGCTCGCGATGCAACGATCCATCTCTGGTACCTGCGCACAAGCCAATCTCTTCGCTCCATCGCCGCGGTGAACGTCAAGCATAACGTGTGATTGCGTGCGTACATACATGCCTACATTATGGAATAAACATATCAGATTGGTGTGTTCCTATTATAACTATTCACCCTAGATTTGAAGCTTTCGTGACTGTAAGGATTCATACTCTTAGGTTTTATCGGTAAAGTCACGTAGGTAAAAAAATAATAATAACAATAAAATAATAATAATAAATGGAAATAACTAAATTAAATCACAACGTTTCGGAGGCAACAAATTTGGCTGTGATGGTCCCACCTGAAGACGGAGACTTGTGTTGCCTCCGAAACGTCGTGATTTAATTTAGTTAATTTCGTTTTTATTTATTTTATTTTATTATTATTCTTTTTTTACCTATGTGACTTTACTGAAAAAACCTGAGAGTATGAACTATTCACCCCCCATTCCTCCTGCGCCGCAACCACCCAACCACACCAAATCAAATTATAATGTTCACGACTTGATGACGCTATAGAATGGACGAATGATTTGTCTCGCATTTCCTGCATGGCTTGCAATGTTCATCGTTTGTCCTGAATGCAGTCTTGTTTCCTTCATTAGCCTACCGAGTACTGACTTGCAATTCCACATGACTTACATTAATCAATGCTGCAAAAATATAGAATCGATTCGCACACGCACAAACCACTGCATTTAACGTGAGCGTGAGGATCGGTTTCTGAATTGACGTATCGCGACATGCCAAGCCACCGTGCTTAGGTTGAGGTGGGAACGGTCTCGTGGTGAGACGGTTCACGTTAGGGTTAAAATTATATATCAATGGCAACATTAGCAGTATCATCATGTGCAAAGTCAGCAGCATCACTGGCAGCAGCAGAACCACCAATACTGCAGCAACATCAGCAATAGCAGCAGAAGCAGCAGCTGCAGACACAGCAGTAACAGCAGTAGCTGATGCATCAGTAGCCGTAGCAACAACAGAGGCAACATCAGAAGCAGCAGCACCAGCAGCAGCAACAGAAGTAGCACCACCAGCACCAGCAGCAGCAGCAGAAATAGCAGCACCGGCAGTAGAAGCAGCAGCCGAGCGGCGATCCTACCGTAGAGGTCGAGGGTGAAGTTGGAGACGCTGCACATGCTGCCCATGAGGTTTTGACCGCAGCACGTGTACGCGCCATTGTCGGCGGCGCTCACGTTGCTCAGCGCGAGCGAGCCGTCGCGACTCAGCACCAGCCGTGCGTTGGCCTGCAGCTCCACGCCGTCGCGCAGCCACTGGTAGAGCGGCCTGCATGCGGGGGGGGGGGGGGGGGGGGGGGGAGCAACACCAGCTCCTGTTATAACGCGGCGCTTCCAAGTCTCCTGTGACGGCAGGAGCGGGAGGGGGGGGCCGGGGGGGACACTGCGGGCCACAGGGCGTCCATCTCACGCGGCCGGCTCACGACTTAATTTTAATCGACTTCATGACATACGGCCGTGACCTCATTTCGCAGAGACCCGCTGAATTGTACACACAACAATATATTTGCACGACAGCCATATACAGCCTCTCTCTCTATATAAAGTAAATATGCCCACTGTTCCTGTTCAGAATCTTGAAATGCAGTCGCAATAGTACCCCGTATGTATGTTGAACTTCTTTCGCACCGTACATAGCCAACCGTGCTCATCGGAGGTGCGGGGGTATAATTTACACGCTGCGCCGCACGGTGACGCAAGCGACCGCACGGGAGAAAGAGCGAGAGAGAAAGAAAGAGGGAGAGAAACCAGGGCCGACAGCAACGCCGGCCTCCGCGACCTCTCACCGGTGATGCCCCTCGATGTGGCAGTGGAGCTTGATGGACGACGACACCTTGATGTCCTCCCGGCTGACGGGGTCGTCCAGCGTCACGCCGCCCGTCTCGATCCCTAAACGGCGGCACAAACGGCAGCGCACGCGCGTCACGACTCGGCCCTGCGGACCGCAGGCTGCGCTCCAGTCGCGGTGGCCGGGCGCTAATGCACAGAGACGAGAGGTCGCATCCCGATAATTGCGGGGTTTTGGTGACAGTTTTAATCTCGACGCCGGCGGGAGGTTGACAAGAGCCGGGTGGGTTGGTGGAGCGGCAAGCCGAGCATCTCCGTGTCGCGGGCCACGCTTGCACGTGGACCGTGCGCGCGCGTTACACGTTTCACGTACGGCTCTTACTGTCAATCCACCGTTGGATGAGGGCCTCTCCTCTACGACTCTTTTTCAGGAGGGTCCTGGCGAGTTTTCCTCGTAGGGGGCGATGATTGCAGATCCCAACTGTTGTAATTTGCGGTGGAATTTTTTTTTGCCAATATTTGTGTTGACCACGACGCCAGCGCACGGTGGCGTTTCTCCTGCGAGGATGACGTCACGGGATCTTTAACGTCCACTGCGAAGCGGACAGTGCATCATTTTTCACGGTTGATTCACTCAGTGGTAACCAGGGGGCGGCCACTGGGTTCTAACCGTGAACGGCGAACGGCCACGGCGAGGTCACGTCACGATCTGCGATGGTGGTCGGTCGCGGTTGGCGAGGGCGTGGGAGCATCGATGCAGATGCATAGCAGTACAGTACAACGAAGGATTACACTACACCGCCCTCTGCTGCTCACAGAGTAACCCTGTGGCCTCTACCACCTGTTTAATTCAAGGTGATCACCCATGCAAGTGCTATTAAGGCTAACGCCTGCTCCAACTTACGAGATGGAACAAGATCATAGGCATTCACACCATAGGAATGGGAAATTTCCACTACGTGCTGAGACGCAGACAGGTACACCTCCGATTGGCACTGTTGGCTACGTATGGTGCGAAAGAGATTCAACATTACACACATAAAGGTCGTCGTGCTCAGTATACGCGGACTGAACCCATGACTTATACTTATGTACGCAAATCACACAAAACCAATTTGTCCATGCAACAATCGAGGCTGGCGGGCAGAACAAAATCACGCAAAGCAAGAGACCAAACACAATTAATTCCCGAGTAGAATCTCACCCCCAAATCGTGACGATTCATCAAATGGCTGGTGGAATAGGGGCGGGTGAATGGTACACGCCCAGCGGATCCCACACCCCCACTCACACCCCCCGTGTACCGAGCGCGCTACTCCGTATCAGTCTCAACATCGACATCCACGCCCACCCCCTCGTGTGTCCTTTAACACCTCTCCGTTACATAACGTAACGTTCTCTCCCCACCACCGCACAATTTGCGTATTCAATTCATCTGCGTTAACTGCGCACGACAGAGCCACGCAGCAGAGCGATCGTTTGCGTTTAGCGTTTGGGCGATGATTGGCGACGGCCTGAGGCTCTGACATCAGACGGAGGAGGAGGAGGCGGTGGCATCTCATTGAAACAAAGCAAATGCTACCATAATAACCATGCTGGAAAGCACTGTCAGCATTGAGGCTGACAGTGCTCATCTCCTGTGTACACGCCAGAGCCAGTGGTGGAAACTCCACGTTCCCATGGTGGGGGGGGGGGGGGGCGAGTCTATACGCGTGGATAATCCCGTGCTGCGATTTTCCCGGCGTGATTGACGGCACGGCGGCAGAGACCACGGCGTGGATCGCTTCCCAGAATTCCCACGCCAACGCTGGCTCATCTCCTCCAGTGGGTCCAGCGATATGAAAGAGAGTCGCCGCGTCGAATGGGTGACTCCCTCCCTCCTCCTCCTCGCCGCTCGACCCCGATATTAAACAAAATAAAATTAAACGCATTCACTGGGCGGGAGGTTTCCCGCCCGCGCATCCCCACGGGGGAGGAAAAACCAATGACAAAGAGAAAAGTTGTTTGTGGACTTAATAAGATGCAGCGCAAAAACAAACGGCCCTTATCTATTCGATAAGCAGCGGCCTGGGCTGTGTATGCTGCTGGGCAGTGTGAAGCCGCGGTAATGTGGAAAAAGACTTTCAAGCGACTCCCGGGTACAACCGCCGTACAGCGTTGTAGCAACGTCACGGCAGTGTGACCGCCGCACATTTTAATACGGCGAGCCTTCCCGGTTACTGGGATGCTATCGTTTGTTAAAGAGGCGAATTTTATAAACGCACGACATCACCGTCGCGACCATGGGTTGAGAAGGAGTGATTGAGCGTGGAAATCATCGCCGATACTCCCTCTGCAAGGTGCTGCGCCTCATCCACGATCGAGCCGGAAGGGTCGGGGAGCCAACTTGGTAGTGCCAAGGGGAAGAGCTGGAGCCAGATAGTGCTCGTGATGAAACTGTGCTAAGAGTGCTCTCCTTGGAGGTCAGGTGTCATTATAACTGCGACTGTTATTACACTGGAGTCTCAAGACTCCTCCTTCCTGTCAAGATTTCTCAGTTGGGGGCGATGTTGCTACGTACGATCCCAATTGAGTAATTTGCCGGTAAACGTTCAGAATTTGGATGTGCAGCCAATACCAGTTACGTTGAATGTTTTTAAACCCAAGAGGAACAGGGGAATAACAAACAAAATGCACAAGAAAAGGTGCACATGTTGGGTTTCGAACACAGGCCCTTCTTGTTGCAAGTGTTACCACTACGCCACCCTGCCACCCCGATGATTTTGCAAACAACCACAGGATCAAGCAGAAGGAAGCGATGGCGGAGGTGTGTGGTCTCCTCTACCGTTGGGGCGCAGGTCTGTTTCAACACCGCCCCTCTGAAAGGTTTACGTAAAAAAATGAAATAGCAAACGCCGCTAATTCACGTTATGCTGCCGCTCGGACATGTTATGGGAGTTTCCTGGTACAGAATTTACAAGCGTTGCATTGCCCCGGAGCTCCGTGATGGCGGCACAAGAGAAAGGTACGGATAATTTATTGCCCGACTAAGGAAAACATTTAACTTTTTCCGTTCGCAAAAAAAAAAAACCCATAAAACAAATCCGCCATCATCCCTGGACGCAATCGCTCCGCAGCCGAGGACGCCCGGTGAGAAATGGGGTGGGTCGACAGGAGGGCATCACGCAGACCGTTTCATCTCAAACGGCGTGGGGGAAGAGAGAGGGAGAGGGGGGCGGTGAGGGACGCAACCTCCTCCGCTCCGCCGTGAATTCTCCAGCCTCTCCCACGAATGCTCGGGCCGACAAAATCCAGGCGGTAAAAAACTCCCACCCGGCCCTGCCATGGCGCCGAGACCACTTAATTAAACACCATCGCTCTCCTTCGCTCCAGATGCGCTCAATCACCGCGGCTCAACAGCTGCTACCTCCTGCAGCCGCTAACATCAAAACATTTGCGGGGAACGCTTGACGGAGCAAGAATTTATGCTTTCCCGTGTTTTTACAAGGACGCATTAACGAGACGTACAGGGCCATCCGTGAAAACGGCGGCGCGTGCCTGCCCCGACGTTACCATGCACAAAGACAAAGGTACCCCTCCCCCTTACAGCCTTTAACGGACTGTTGAGGCAAGTGGTACTAGCGAGCACCTATGGAAAGAGACATGGCACAAGAGGGGGTGGGAGGCCAGCACCACGGCCGCCTTTGTCTGCCCAACACTGATGTTTACACCCCACACCAGGTACTCGTTTTAGGCCGAGTTGACCTAGGGGTAGCCCAGGAACAGTTTATATATCCCTCACTGAAGTTGGTCACGAGGGGGAATTTAACGCGCGTCACCAGATTCCTAGCGCGGTGCAAACTATCAGTGCATAAAATGAACATTGTCAATCGTCCATAGTCTACGCAATGTTGAATAAAGGCCTCCACACGCCATCGTCATCCCTCCCTTGAGTAAAAAGCCGCCAGAATCCGTCTCACTCCCGCACCGCTCTCATCGCTCCATCTCCGCGGCGGCCGATTCCCTCGGGCAGGTGTTCTCCCCCCCCCCACCCCGTGGCGCGACGATACGTCTCACTGAAGCGAACGGCGACGGATCGGCGGGCTCGGCGTGAACAGCGGCGGGCGGCGGCGCGCCACCGTCACCGCTTTCAGCGAAGATCTGGGGCGAGCGTTAAACGGCGGGCGGTGCCGGCGGAAAATATCCCGACGCAAAAACAGACGTGGGAGGAGGATTTTGGGCGATTCCGTTGTAAACCCCAGCGTGCCCGTGACACCGCGGCTTCGTGTCGACGCACGTTCTCGCCTCTAATTAGGTAGGGCGGTGGGGGGGGGGTGAGGGGGGTGGGGTTGCTGGTAAAGTTGGCCTTGTTTCCGGCGTCCAGAATAGCACGCAAACGACAGCCAGGGGCAGGAAGGAAATGCTTTCGCTCTCCGTGTGAGCGTGCAGCTGTTGCCTTCGTGCCAGAGACGGCCGCCGAGGGAGCCCCGACGAGACCGGCTGTCTGCCCTGCAGCAACGCGGCTCAGACACGCAACACAGACTGTGCAGCAGCAGCAGCAGCAGTAACAATACGGATTACAGCCGGTCCGGTAATGATAGACACACAGAGACACGATCCGTGCAGCAACGATACTTCAGGAGACAGCCCGTGCAACAACAATTCTTACACGCACGGCCGGCATAACGTCTTTCATGCTCTGCCTTAATGGGAACGTCCTTGGCTGCCATCTTCTCTGCTCTCTGGCCCCCCTCTATGCTTCCACAAACGACCCCCCCCTCATCCTTTAGGTCCTACCAGCGTCACGACGACGAATGGGCCTTCCGCTCCATCTTTTACCTTCCATTCGTGCTTCTGTACCAGGCGAGTTAGTTAACATCTCGCCACCGTGGTGCCTTTGTCAAGGCGTCGCCAGCTCCAAGCCTCCCCCCATCCTTGCCGTAGCATCGCGAGCCAAGCGAACACAAACATGGAGATCCCCGTGTAGCCGTCGACACGCTGTTTGGGGCAAGTGCAGTCAGAGAGTGTCTATTAAGGCTACCTCGGCGCAAAAAGGGGGTGGGGTGTGGACAACACCGCACTGTTTGCACACAGCGCCAGGAGCTCCATGACCTGTGAAAAGC